TGAGACCTTGTACCAAATACATACATGGAAAAAATTAAAATGTGCTATGTACATATAGAAACCCTCCATGATGAATATGATCATTGTACATTACAAACATGCTAAAAAATAAATTTGAAAATGAAGTGGGAATGTAAGGACTTGAGAATCTCTTTCTGTAACTGACAAAATAATCAAATTAGCCAAAGAGATAGAAAAATCTCTTTTTATAGGATCACCTCTAGTCCAGAACTTGTACTAAGTGCCAAACACAAGCTGTAATAGAAACAGATGGTACCAAGTAGATAGGAGGCAATCCTTGTCACCAAGGAAGTCTTTTTGGGTCAGAGAAACTATTAATAATTATTATCAATAAATTTGTAGATATTTAAATTCAAAATAGTTTTGTTGCTGTTGTTGTTGAGTTTTGATTGTTTGTTTGTTTGTTTTGGAAGTGAGGATCAAACTCAGGACCTTGTGCTTGCCAGGCAGGCATTTCGGCTGCTAAGCTATCTCCTGGGCCCACCTAAAATAATGTTTCTTAAAAATATGTACAAAGCACAGAATTTATTAAGAGAAGGAAGTAATTATCTGTCCAAACCACTAAGGAGGGCTTTACATGGGAGATGCTGGAGGATAATTGTAAGATGAATAGCAATTTTCTAAGTAAAATGGCAGTAGGACACTCAGCAAAGTGAAATCATGTCAAAGTCAACAAGCTCTGAAGTATTCTAGTGTTGGGGAAACTACAAGAAGACTGAAGCCTCCAAACAAGTCTAAGTAGAACCTTCTCTTAACTTTGGGACCCCACATTTGAATGCATGGACAGTGCTGGTGCACTTTTCACAGCTTTCAATGATCACAAACAGCTGGCTGCAGCATGCTTCCCATAGGTTCACCACCACTGATATAGAATGTTTAAAGGCCTACTGGATTGCCCTGACACCCTAGGCCTGAGGAGAGGGATCAACCACAAAATTAAGGATTTTTTTCTTTCTTTTTAATTTTTTTTATTTTGTAAAAAGAGCCAAAAAAAAATGAAAAAAGAAGCATTAGACATGATACAGAATTTCGCTAAACACAAAAAGAGAAATTCAACAATGATTGTTATATTGCATATTGTTGTCTTTAGTTCATTGAATTATCAGATGTAAGGACACGAAATTGGTCAAAAAATTATAACAAATTAAAAAGGAGAGTGGGAAAAAAAACTTAAAGGATTAAATGCTCCGTTCAATAGACCAGCAGAAATTAGAGATTGTTTCTAAAAAGGGTCTGAGAACTTTTTGTCATTGTGTTCACACTGCCAGACCCTTGGATGAGTGACGGATCCTAGAGAGAGGGCTTTACATCAGGTCACTCTGCGAGAGCCCTAGAGAGAGGGTTAGGATTGCAGACTCAGCAGAGCAGGAGCAGTCACTGGCCGGGTGATTCTGCAGAAATAAACAAAGTGAGTCTGTAAAAGAATATGAGTCACGCTTATGAATAGGAATCGTTCCAGATTTTCTTAGATTGTGTGCATTGTGTGCACACGTGGCTGTACACACTACACCAAAAGCTTTATTTTGACCATTTGCTTCAGCTGCGGCATCGCTGCTCTGCAGATATGTGCACTGTACATCACAGGGAGCACATGATCACAGAGCACCACAGTATAAGCTGAGAATAAACAATTTACCATTTTCTTCTTGGTGACAGGTAGACGTGAGATTTGTATGCAGTAACAGAGAGCACAAGATGGTCCTGTGACAGGGACTATATCATAATGCACACATTTATGTATTCAAATACCCCCACACCCAGGTAGCTATGGGAGGGCCTGCAAATGCACTCACATCTTATGCTAGACAGAATTATTTTTATTATCACCTTTACCAGGCACTAAAAAGATTTTTATGCCTCAAATTGGCAGCAAAAGCAAATCTGCATTCATCATCCTCTCCCTTTTTCAAACAGACTCGAGTTTAATATACAAAGGAGAGTGAAAATTGCTTCCACCAATCTGAGATTGCATGTAATCCCAGCTAAATCACAGGATTCAATTCTTTATAAAGTTTTCTCTCTAGCTATATTTCAGCCAGTCTTCTGCATAATGAATCTTACCCTAGAAAAATTACAAAATGTATGCAATATTTCTAATTAAATGCCTCTTATTCTTTTTAGCCATTGAATTCAATTTCTGCCTCATGGGGACTTCTGAGAGTTGGTGAGGTTGTTAGTGGATCCCAGAATTATACTTTCAAGGGAATTGGGCAGACAAGAGGTTCAATTGGTTTATTTTCGAGGAAGTGGAAATAGTAATGGAAAATCTCACTAAGTAACAGGGTATATTTCAAAATAGAAAAAGAAGAATGACTTAGCTTTACAATGCAATTTCCTAAAGAGCACGTTGCTTTTTTTTTCTCAGAAAACTTGTTTGGAAAAATCAAGACTAGTACACTGTTCCTTATACTCCTATATTCTTTTAGTTTCCCTTCCTTCGACTTATCACCCTCAGAGACTGTGTGAACAGCATTATTTATTGATGATTGTCTCAAATGCATATTTCCATTTAAAATATGAACTTCCATGTTAAAAAGAGATTTTAAAATTTACATTTATTTTAGGCTATTCACTCAATTTTAACTAGGGCAATTGGAACACCTTAAGGTTCCAAGCT